CCAGCTGTAGGAATTATGATACCTTTGGGCAGATATGAGGGAACATGATGGAAAGGGGCCATGACCGGGACACAGCGCAGGGTTAAAGTGAAGGAGCTGTGGAATGCCTACCGCAAAGCCTGCGAGGCAAACAACTGCTCCGGTGCTGCCCCTGCGACATGCCATTTCTACAAAGAGCTGGATGCAATGCTTGGGGGGCGACCCCACCTCCACGCCAAGGACCACCATGGACACTTCAGAGGCCAGTTCAACAAGGCGGGAGGAGGCGGAGGAAAGCGGGAGCGAGGCAGGGAAGACACCCCAGAATCCCTAGATGCATGCAGCCAGGAGCTGCTCTCAAGCCAGGAGGAAGGTAGCCAGTCGCGGTGGCCGGTGCTTGGGGAAGGACAAACACCAGAAGAGGTTCCCAATAAGTGGCTTTTATTTTGGGAAGGAAGTTATTCAGTGCAGGCACTTGGGGTGAGGAGGGTTAGGGCTGCATGCATACCTAGATGCGGAATAGGGTATTGATGTGGTCTCTCACATCGCGGTAATCAGCCTCAGTGATCTCCTCAAAGGTCTCATCCAGAACTTGGGCAATGCGCTTGCGCAGGTTTCTTGGGAGAGCCACTGTGGTCCTTGTCCCAGTCAGGCTAACATGTCTGCGCCAGTGTGCCGTGCGGAGCAGGGGGACCATTGCTGCACAAAGGCAAGCTGCATATGGGCCAGGGAGAAAGCTGCATTGTGGTAGAAGACCCTCCCTTGCTTCCCAGGTCACCCTCAGCAGTGAGATATCTTCCAGGACAAACTCCTGTGGAAAATGTGAGGACAGTGTTCAGTATAGGGGCCCCCTGCTACTGTTGGCTCTCCCCAAGGCACAGAAACCCAGAGGACGGGTTTCTGTGAAACAATCAGTCCCCCTTGACCCTGTGCTTACTCACCATTTTGGGGCTCCCGTGGGTTATGTGCGCTCGCTTTGAGACAGGCAAATTCTGCTATTGTATAGACTGTGCCTGCCCTTAAGTACGGGGGAATCATTACTCTGTCTGGTGTGAACAATGCTGCCTCTGTTAAGTGTTGCATTTTGCCTTTAGAGATGCAACCTTGAGATCTCAGCCTTCTGTGTTGTTATCAGCTGAAAGACTGCAAAGAATTCGGAAGAGGCCACTTAGAAGCAAAGATGACATGCTGCATGAAGTCATGCAGCAGTCCCTTAATGGGAATCTAAAAGTGCAGGAGTGGAGGGAGAGTGAAAGGAGGATCCGCTAGCAGAATGAGGAGTGCCAGCACAAAAGTGCGGAGCTCCAGCAGCAAAGCACGGATCGGCTGATAAGCATCATGGGGCACCAAGCAGACTTGATCCAGGCGCTTGTAGCCATGCGGGCGGAGCAATACCACCCGTGCATGCCCCTGCAGCCCTTGTCCCAAAACTCTTTCCCTTGTGCCCCATGTCACCTCCAACCCCACTTTCCCCAACATCTGTGTTCCTGTCGCCACCAGCTGCCTCCAACACCTGTAGCTTCACCACCCAGCCCTGAAAACTACAACCATTATCTACTGCACTCAACCCCCATCACCATGCATTATAGCCATCCTGAAGTGCAGCACTCTGACAGGAAGTCTGAGTATGAGAACAGGACATATGCAAATCTGTGATTGAACTGTTCCCCACCCCACCCCCTTGCCCTTTCTGTTTCCCAAGCAGTTGTTTCTTTTCAATAAATGAATTTTCTTTTCAATAAATGGATTTTTGGCTTTGAAAACATTCTTTATTAGTGCATAAAGTAAAAGATACCTCAGCCCAGGAAAGCAACAGGCACTGCAATTCAGCGTATCAAACACAGATTCCAACTAACATTGGAACCACTGCACTTCACTCCCGTGCAGGGCACCAGACATTACTGGTGGCTTTCAGCCTCAAGTTGCTCCCTCAAATTGCATCCCTAATCCTTGCAGCCCCACGCTGGGCCCCTCTAATAGCCCTGCTCTCTGGCTGTTCAAATTCAGCCTCAGGTGTTTAACCTCTGAGTTCCATGCCTGATTGAATCTTTCACCTTTCTCTTCACAAATGTTATGGAGGGTACAGCATGCGGATATAACTGCGGGGATGCTGTCATCAGCCAGGTCCAGCTTCCCATACAGAGAGCACCAGCGGCCCTTTAATGGCCAAAAGCACACTCCACAGTCATTCTACACCGCTCGTTGCTGCTGTCAAGGCTCCCTGTGTAGGGTTTCATGAGCCACGGCATTAAAGGGTAAGCGGGGTCTCCAAGGATCACAATGGGCATTTCAACGGTGATCTTCTGGTATGGGGAAAAAGTCCTGGCTTGCAGCTTCCTGGACAGCCCAGTGTTCCAAAAGATGCGTGTGACAGGCACCTTTCCAGACAAGCCTGCATTAATGTCAATGAAATTGCCCACGGTGATCCACAAGCGCCTGGAGAACCACAGAGAAATACCCCTTCCAATTAACATACTCAGAGGCTAGGTGGGCTGGTGCCAGAATTGGAATATGCATCCCATCTATTGCCCCTCCGCAGTTAGGGAAACCCATTTGTGCAAAGCCAGCCACAATGTCACGCACGTTACCCAGAGTCACGGTTCTTTTGAGCAGGATATGGTAAATGGCCCTGCAAACTTGCATCGACACAATTCCAACGGTTGACTTTCCCACTCCAAACTGGTTAGCGACCGATCGGTAGCTGTCTGGAGTTGCCAGCTTCCAGATTGCAATAGCCACCCACTTCTCCACCATCAGGGCAGCTCTCAATCTCATGTCCTTGTGCTGCAGGGTGGGGGCGAGCTCCTTATACAGTCCCATCCGAAAGTTCTGCAGCCACTGCTCATCATTCCAGTCTTGCATGACGATGTGATCCCACCTCTCTGCTTGTTTTCCGAGCTGAAAAGCGGCATTCCACAGTGGGGAGCATGTCTGTGAATGCCACAAACAGTCTCATGTCATATGCCTTTCTCGCATCTATCATCGTCGGAGTCCTCACTGTCACTTTGGATCTTAAGGAGTAACTCGACTGCCAAACGTGACGTGCTGGCAAGACTTGTCAGCATATTCCTCAGCAGTTCAGGCTCCATTCCCGCAGACCGAAAGGGAAGACAGAGCGCGCAGTACAAAAAATGTTGAAAGATGGCGCCAAATGTGGATGGAAGCACAGGGATTGCTGGGATGTGAACCGATGCATCATGGGGCTTTGGGACAGGACCCAGAATGCCCTGCATCCCCTGCCCCCTTCCCACAAGCGCCAGAATGGGAAGAGGGGCTCTGTGGGATAGCTGCCCATAATGCACCGCTCCCAATGCTGAAGCAAGTGCTGCGAATGTAGCCACGGCAGTTTGCTTGCAGCTGTCAGTATGGAGAGACTGCAGCGCTTTCCCTACTGCACTCTCCGAAGACTGGTTTAACTCAAAGCGCTCTACATCTGCAAGTGTAGCCATGCCCTAAGTGTCAAAAGCCCTAAGACATCTCTCTGCTCTGGGAGTCCAGTAATTTTTACCAATATATAAACTTGGCCAACAAAGTTCCTGCCTGTCCACTGTGTCTTGCAGTATTGTTCGTTCTTTTTTGTAAGCAGGGTAATGTGAACAGCTGCCTGGCTATCAGATGTCCAAAGTTCACTATATTTTAACTGATAATGGTGCTAACCTTGAGTAGTTCATCTAAGGCTGAGCTATGTCACCAGAAGGTTATGTGGCTTTGCTAAGGTCCCCAGCTAGAGTTAATATCAAGGCTGACTGTATGTAAGGTCTCCCTTTATTTCACACTTCTGTGATCAGTTTTCTTCCTTTTATTATTGTGGGCTCATATGATGAGTGTTGTATCAATAATAAAATTATGCAAAAGAAAACAGTGTTGTGTTGTTAAAATGTAATCTCAATTGTGAAACTGAAGATAACTGTTTCTTACTGGGCACTAATTGCTCTGAAGTTGCCTTATTTGAGATTGTCCCAGTTGGGGGTGGGAGGAAAGAGTTTCATGTTTAATTAACACATATGGGAAAAGACTAACATGTATCTGTATTGCTTGCACTGTTTCACTCAATAAGAAAATGATGTGGCAATTTTTTCCCTTTTTGAAGTTTTAACTCTTCCACTTCTCATCCCCTTGCCCTTCTTTGTGTATTTGAATCTGTATTGGTTATTAATTCGTAAATCTTCAGTAAGTTAACATTAAGTAATTTAGCTATTAATAATAATAATTAATAAAAAAGTTTACATGTTATAGTATGACTGCACATGCTTCCTCCTGCCCAGGATGCCAGTACTTGTTTTGAAACTGATACCAATGCTGTTCAGTTTAGTGACATAACCTAAACTCAGTCCTTTAGTTAGTATGAGTTTGTAGAACAGAAATGTACTATTACAGTATTCAGGCAAGGCCAAATATTTTTAGTAGCTTTATTTAACAAGTTCCTTGTACCAAAGTAGACTGGTCGCATATGAAGACTGCTTGCTGTTATTGAGCTGTTGAGCACTTAGTTTACTATGGTGCAGATGACTAGATCAACAGTTGTCATAAGTAGAGCTGGCTGGGAATTCTTCAACTAAACATTTCCATGTCAAAAGTTTTTTAATTTGTTATTATGTCCTGTTTTGGCACTTTCAAAGCAAAAGTTCCATCTTTCGATTTGAAATACCTTTGTTTTGAAATTTAAGTTAATTTATAGTAAAATTTAAATTAATAATAAAAGTCAAAACATTTCAAAAGTATTTAAATGAAATTATGTTTGAATGAACTGTGAGTTTTTTTAGTTTCAATCTGAAATTTTTCAAGATTTTGATCTTCTCCCAATTTGGAAAGGGAAAACTGTTTTCAATATTAAAAAATTTCCCAACATGGCAAAACCATTTCCCACACAACTTTTGTATACCTGTAGACTCTGACTGGTTTTGTGCATACTTTGGAGGAAAAAGAACTTCAGAGATAATTTTTTAGTACTATAAATAGTAACAATCAAAGGCCTCTTGTGTATAATTGTATGACTAAATGCATACTGTTTTCCCTTTTAGGTATCTAAAAGCAATTGGCACAGGATCTTGGTTTTGTACTCTTAACTGTCTCAAAGCGTGAGTTTTACGACGTTGGGAAACGGCACATTTCAGCTGAGATCGGAGCTGTGACATTGATCTAAAGGTAGGTCATGCAGAATTCTGAAAGTTCCATTCTTCAGAAATTTCAAGGTTTAATCTTGGTCTGGTTTAAATATTGTATAATGGAATTCATTATGCAATAAAACAGGTATTTAATAGACATCTTGAGTTTTAGTGACTCTTTTGTCTTGAAATCACTTTTCTTTTTTCACCAGCCAACTTCTCTCTAAATCAAGTTTCACTATATCTGAATTGCAATGGGCATACTACGATGCACTCTTTGAGCTCAAGGCCTTTTCTTCTTTTTCACTGTACATATAATAAGAATACGGCTCATTGCAACAAATATAAATAAAAAGGATACAATGGTGGCTGTTAATCTCAAGTCCTCATCATGCATTTTCTCCTCTTGTGATGATGTTGGGCCTTGGGTATCTGAGTAAGTTTCACATCTTTATTATACGTCTGGTATTCCTACTCCCTCCTTCTCAAAGAGAACTACTGCATCTTTCCTCCAGCTAGCAGGACAGGACAAGAACCTTCTACTGAAACCTTCTACTGAAACTCCACACTGCTGCTTTATACAAACAAATGGTATCTTGGGATCAATGAGTGAGGTACACATTGCTGCTGCACTGCAGACCCCCAGAGCAAGTTGACCCCCAGAGCTGCCTTTGAAAAATCACATCTCTCATCAAATTATGTTGGGTACAATACGTCAAATTTCAAGGTTTAAGTCTGATTTACTTATTGTTCTGGTTGGAGTTGAGATATGAAATATAACCATCTCTTAATTTGCAAATGCTGGTCTTTTTGTCGTGAACTAACAATTAAAAGTAAAAGATGCAAAAATAAGAGACAATATGGATCGCTGGAGGGAGACTAGGCCTGGGAGACAGAACCCCCTGAAAGCTAATCTCAACTCTGACACTAAATTACTGTGTGGCCTTAGGCAAGTCATTTAATTTATCTGCCTCTCTTCTCCTCCTATAGAATGTGGCTAATGCCTCAGATGGATGCTGTGAGAATTAATTTTGTCCAGCTCTTTAAAGATTAAAAGTCCTCCAATAAACCTTTTTATGCAGAAAAAATGAATTAATATCCAACATAGTGAAGACTTGAGACTAAGTATATTTAAAACTTCCTTCTTTGGCTTTTTAGCTGCAGAGAATGAGTAGTTAAGATTTTGCTAGCTAAAAACCACTATAGTTGTAACATTTACCATGATGGCAAAAGTTTTTCTAATTATCTTTACCTGTTTTTGTGTTTTTTTTTTAAATGATAAAAAAAAATTCGCTCCAGGATATTTCCCTTGTTACTTTGAAGACTTCTGCAGAATGCAGTGCATATTTTCAGTTGGCCTACTATGGCAATATGTAAAAAATATCTGCCAAACCTTGCAACAGAATATTTGAAGAGCTACAGTTCTGTCACATTTAGGGCTTGTCTACATGGGAGATTCATACCAGTATAAGCAAGGATGTGTATTTAAGCTGATATAGTTATATTGGTGTGTGTAATAGTTGCTTTTTTCGGTTTAGCTCTTGTTGCTTTTAGTCCCTCTTCTTTTTATAGTTCCCATGGTGACTCCTTATCTCAAGCCAGTAAACCAGATAAACAGCTTCAATGAGCCAACTAGGGCACAGAACCAATATTTTGGAGGTATTTTTAATTTGTATTATTAATCTGACTTTTCTGTAGCTGCCTCCCTTTTTCAAGGGCACCTTTTGCATGAAAGGTATAAGCCCATATTTGAGCATTTGGAATAATTTAGTTGGCTGCAGATGTCTTCATACTCTCAGCTGAGGAAAAAATAGGTGTTTTGAAAGTCCAGGGTCTGCACCCATGCACTACCTAATTGGGCTAGAAGCAATACATGACAGTTAGCTAGCAAACAGGAGCAGCAAATGAGAGTTTTGTGAAGGAGTGCTCCAGGTGAAGGAGGAGCAACTATGTGACCCTTGGAGTGAGTTTGTTGTCTTATTTCAGAGTAACAGCCGTGTTAGTCTGTATTCGCAAAAAGAAAAGGAGTACTTGTGGCACCTTAGAGACTAACCAATTTATTTGAGCATAAGCTTTCGTGAGCTACAGCTCACTTCATCGGATGCATACTGTGGAAAGTGTAGAAGATCCTTTTATACACACAAAGCATGAAAAAATACCTCACCCCACCTCACTCTCCTGCTGGTAATAGCTTATCTAAAGTGATCACTCTCCTTGCAATGTGTATGATAATCAAGTTGGGCCATTTCCAGCACAAATCCAGGTTTTCTCACTCCCCCCAGGGTGTGTCTGTGCGGATTTGATCTTGTGCTTTTTCAGGGAGTTTCTTGAGCAAATGCTGTAGTTTCTTTTGGTAACTCTCAGTGGGATCAGAGGGTAATGGCTTGTAGAAAGTGGTGTTGGAGAGGTGCTGAGCAGCCTCTTGTTCATATTCTGACCTATTCAAGATCAAATCTGCACAGACACACCCCTGGAACCCCGACCTGGGATATTCTATCTACTACCCAAGATCCATAAACCTGGAAATCCTGGGCGCCCCATCATCTCAGGCATTGGCACCCTGACAGCAGGATTGTCTGGCTGTGTAGACTCCCTCCTCAGGCCCTACACTACCAGCACTCCCAGCTACCTTCAAGACACCACTGACTTCCTGAGGAAACTACAATCCATCGGTGATCTTCCTGATAACACCATCCTGGCCACTATGGATTAGAAGTCCTCTACACCAACATTCCACACAAAGATGGACTACAAGCCGTCAAGAACACTATGCCCGATAACGTCACGGCTAACCTGGTGGCTGAACTTTGTGACTTTGTCCTTACCCATAACTATTTTACATTTGGGGACAATGTATACCTTCAGATCAGCGGGACTGCTATGGGTACCCGCATGGCCCCACAGTATGCCAACATTTTTATGGCTGACTTAGAACAACACTTCCTCAGCTCTCGTCCCCTAACGCCCCTACTCTACTTGCGCTATATTGATGACATCTTCATCATCTGGACCCATGGAAAAGAAGCCCTTGAGGAATTCCACCATGATTTCAACAATTTCCATCCCACCATCAACCTCAGCCTGGACCAGTCCACACAAGAGATCCACTTCCTGGACACTACAGTGCTAATAAACGATGGTCACATAAACACCACCCTATACCGGAAACCTACTGACCGCTATTCCTACCTACATGCCTCCAGCTTTCACCCTGACCACACCACACGATCCATCGTCTACAGCCAAGCTCTGCGATACAACCGCATTTGCTCCAACCCCTCAGACCGAGACAAACACCTACAAGGTCTCTATCAAGCATTCTTACAACTACAATACCCACCTGCGGAAGTGAAGAAACAGATTGATAGAGCCAGAAGAGTTCCCAGAAATCACCTACTACAGGACAGGCCTAACAAAGAAAATAACAGAACGCCACTAGCCGTCACCTTCAGCCCCCAACTAAAACCCCTCCAACGCATTATTAAGGATCTACAACCTATCCTGAAGGATGACCCAACACTCTCACAAATCTTGGGAGACAGGCCAGTCCTTGCCTACAGACAGCCCCCCAACCTGAAGCAAATACTCACCAGCAACCACATACCACACAACAGAACCACTAACCCAGGAACCTATCCTTGCAACAAAGCCCGTTGCCAACTGTGCCCACATGTCTATTCAGGGGACACCATCACAGGGCCTAATAATATCAGCCACACTATCAGAGGCTCATTCACCTGCACATCCACCAATGTGATATATGCCATCATGTGCCAGCAATGCCCCTCTGCCATGTACATTGGTCAAACTGGACAGTCTCTACGTAAAAGAATAAATGGACACAAATCAGATGTCAAGAATTCTAACATTCATAAACCAGTCGGAGAACACTTCAATCTCTCTGGTCACGCAATTACAGACATGAAAGTTGCGATATTACAACCAAAAACTTCAAATCCAGACTCCAGCGAGAACTGTTGAACTGGAATTCATTTGCAAATTGGATACAATTAACTTAGGTTACCTTGCGTAATGACTTAGCCACTCTCAGTCTCTATTCAAGCCTATTTCCCCTTGTTTTTCCTCCCCCCCCCCCCGACGTTCTTGTTAAACCCTGGATTTGTGCTGGAAATGGCCCACCTTGATTATCATACACATTGTAAGGAGAGTGATCACTTTAGATAAGCTATTACCAGCAGGAGAGTGGAGTGAGGGGAGGTATTTTTTTCATGCTTTGTGTGTATAAAAAGGTCTTCTACACTTTCCACAGTATGCATCCGATGAAGTGAGCTGTAGCTCACGAAAGCTTATGCTCAAATAAATTGATTAGTATCTAAGGTGCCACAAGTACTCCTTTTTCTTTTTGTTGTCTTAGTTTTTTGTCATGTGCTTGCTTGCCATTTGCCTGCTTGATTGAATTTTATAGTGTGGTCTCTTTAGGGGGCTGTGTGCTGAGCCCAGATTCTTGCTAGGCTAGGCTGAAAGCTTCCTAATGAGGCTCTAGCTTGCTATCCTTTGATTCCTAACCTCTTTAGGATGCCTTGATGAGGAGGCGGGGCTAACCTCATGGCTAACCAACAAAGTAAAAGAGGCAGTTAAAGGCATAAAGACATCCTTTAAAAAATGGAAGTCAAATCCTGCTGAGGAAAGTAGAAAGGAGTATAAACTCTGGCAAGTCAAGTATAAAAATATAATTTGGCAGGCCAAAAAGAATTTGAAGAGCAACTAGCAAAAGGCACAAACTAACAGCAAAATGTTTTAATTCCATCAAAAGCAGGAAGCCTGCCAAACAATTAGTGGGGATCACTGGATGAAGAAGTGCTAAAAGAGCGCTCAAGGAAGACAAGACCTCTGCAGAAAAGCTAAACAAATTCTATTCATCAGTTTTCACTGCAGGGGATATGAGGGAGATTATCACACCTGAACCATTTTAAAGTGACCGATCTGAGGAACTGTCCCAGACTGAGGTGTCAGTAGAGGAGGTTTTGGAACAGCTTGATATATTAAACTGTAATAAGTCACCAGGACCAGATGGTATTC